CCATTCATTAAAACAAAATGGCCACCGGACAGCCATTTTGAGTCTGATCTGAAAAATAAAATGATGTGCATCAGGAACCTGTAATGTCTAATGTATGTACCAAGTTTGAACGAAATCCATCCATAAATGCCAGAAATGCTTGATATTTGATGATTTTTTAGCACAAAAATGACAACCATTCAAACGAGGTACCGGTACACATTATCATAATGTTGATTTTAAATATAGTGGTACTTCTAAATGCACATACAGACCAAGTACAATTAAATAGTCATTATTTAAGATATCAATTCTATTCTATGCTGACTCCAAACAGTCTAGACATATCAGCATATTTAATATAGTACTCGTAATAACCCAATTTTCAGTCAATAATATTAAATGAGGTACCATATATTATTCAGAATGAACAGATGAATAGACTAAACCAATCAGTATACTGATTGACACATGTTCCTACCTCTGTACACATTCAGTGTCAATGTTCTTACTGCTATCCTAACCATGCTTTCAGGATGATTGAAAAATTTAATCGCTTCTGTATAAAGGGCAAAATCATTGGTGTGCTGAAATAGAGAAATAAGCAACTGAAAGGTGCATGTCACTAATGCAATTTTGACAAGGATTTCCTGAATCTTAGCTAAACTTTGAATAAAAGAAAAAAACACAAAAAAAACTAGTTTTTGAATCATGAGTCACAGTTGAGTTTGAAGCAGGGATTGCGTTAACCCCATATTTTGCTTCCCGCACTCCAATTATTGAAGAGGATCCCAGTTTTTCCGGCAAGATGGGGTCCATTCTCTAATAAAGTTATCCAGGGTCAAATTTCAATTTCTTAAAAGAGGGAGCACTGCAATTCAGCGGCACCACCAAGTGGAGGAGATAGGGTTCTCCCTACAAGGGTGTGGAGTTTTGGATAATTCTAAGTTAAAATGGAGCATTCTATGGCTTCCTTGGGGCCAAAATTGCTATCAGACAGGTCACAGTTGAAGACTGTGGCCACATGTGATCCCTGGTCAATCAGAATTTTATGGTTGCCAGAGGATCTGCTCCCAAGGGTACATGGCCATGGCATGAGGGCGCTGCACCCCTGTTCCCTTGTTTAAAAAAATCCCTGAGTTCTTTGTGGGTAAAATGTGAAGAAAAAAAATACAATACTTATTTATCACAGATTTCTTATTCAGACAACTGGGCAGCCAAGTAAAAGCAGATACATCAAAAATTCTGCCACAAAAAGACTCTGATTGGTCTGACTATTAGATGTTAAGGTTGGGTAGCAAATCAAGCATGATCTTGTCAAGTAGCTTTGCACTGACTCCAATGTGGACCATTTTACTTTGGTCAGCTTTGGGGTGTCTCAGCGTTACAAGCAATTTTGTTTTTCAGTCAATATATATTAAGATAATGTGATAAAAAAATCACAAACTGAAATTACATTATTGGAAAAAAAGACGAACAGAGCAATAACATGAGGATACAAATGGTAATGTAAAAAGACTGCGTGGGTTTAAATTTCGCTGATTTACCATTTCAGGCATATTCAGTGGATTTTATCATTTAGATAATGTGTTCTATGCTAAATTTTACATATTCATTGGGTTTCAATTTAGCGCATTTTCCAGTCAGTGAAATAAGCAAAATTAAAACCCAGTGAATAATTAACCCCTTTCACAGTACATAACTCCATATAAGGGATCCAATGCTATATGGAAAAGGTTGATGGTACACAAGGAATAAAACTCTACATGAAGCGAGTTGTGTGGTACACAACCGTATAAAAGTACACTTACCTCATTATAAAAGAAATGTATTGTATGAGAGTTCAATTTCAGAGATAATGTTTTCAAAAATGATATATAATAGGCAAGAATCTGAAATAAGATAATAAATATATTATACCGGGAATTGAGAAATGAAAGAATGTATTAAGTTATACGCGTTTCACTTTTCAATGAACTATTTGTAAAGCATATGACCATCCCGAAACATCAAACGGGTTACGAGTGTTTGTAAAATCGGCATTGTTCACCAAAAAGTTAAAATCATTTCATGTTGACAAAATGTTGTATTAACAATTAGCTGAGCAAAAAATGATATTCAGGACATTCAAACAACACTTATCATTTCCTGCTGTTAATAATTTTAAGATTTATGGAATTTGTGAGGACAACTTCCTGCAAAGTTTGGGATTTTCATCACCCATGAAAATGCGTCTCTGACAGTGATTTACACTGGTTCTTGGTCTCTAGAGGGCGCTATTTCATATCACTTCGTGTTTTGCTGATTTCGCCTTTATAGTGTTATGGCATGCCATGCCACAAGAGATTGTTAATTAGTAATGGCATGAACATTCTGATTGGTCAATCATGTTCTCATTCCTTGTTCTTAGTGATGGTATGAACATTCTGATTGGTCAATTATGTTCTCATTCCTTGCTCTATTTTTCAGTACTTATTGCAAGCAGACTGAACGGATGTGACATCATTGGAGTATTAGAGACTGGCTTACATAGAACCTAAATTGTTTTCAAATTTATATTGCAGTCGCATGAATTTAGGGCTGGAATTCAGACTCACTCAAGCAATATTTCTAATTACAATTGTCCTACTTGCTATTTGAAAGGGACGTTTGAACCAGAGAATTCCACACACAGGTGTCTCCAGTGAAGTTTATAACCTCTATAAATCAACACTGAGAGCACTGTTCATAACTTTTACAAATATTCATGTCAGCCTTGATAAATCTCTAGTTTCAACATTATAACATAGGGACGATAGCTGTCACCACCATATAATTTCAGACACCAAAATAGCAAAAGTGCCAGGTAAGATGATGACGCAGTGGCACAGTGCTGGTGTGTGCATGGCATATTGGTAGTAAGTGCGTGTATTTAGCCAAAAGGTGAACCTTCGTAAAAACAATCTTGGAATGCACACAGCAAACCAGTCAACATCTTAGCTGGCAATGTTGATGTTTCGGTATCTGAAACAATATGGCAGTAACAAGTAAAACATACATTTAAATAAGGAGTCTTACCTCTTCATCAGAAAAATCAAATCTGTGTACAATTATAAAATTAATATAATTATTTGATAATAAATAATCTGTAATGTAAAAATAAAAGTATTGTTGATTTTGAGCTATGAATAAATACATTAATATTATGTATGATGTAGTTGTATTATGTATGATGTAGTTGTATTATGTATGATGTAGTTGTATTATGTATGATGTAGTTGTATTATGTATGATGTAGTTGTATTATGTTATGATGTAGTTGTATTATGTATGATGTACCTGGTAGTTGTATTATGTATGATGTAGTTGCATTATGTATGTTGTAGTTGTATTATGTATGATGTAGTTGTATAATGTATGATGTTGTTGTATTATGTATGATGTAGTTGTATTATGCATGACGTAGTTGTATTATGTATGATGTAGTTGTATTATGTATGATGTAGTTGTATTATGTATGATGTAGTTGTGTTATGTATGATGTAGTTGTATTATGTATGATGTAGTTGTATTATGTATGATGTAGTTGTGTTATGTATGATGTAGTTGTGGTATGTATGATGTAGTTGTATTATGTATGATGTAGTTGTATTATGTATGATGTAGTTGTATTATGTATGATGTAGTTGTATTATGTACACACTGACAACTATATCTTGAATGATGCATCCCTCATACAATTTGAAAACATGTTTTGTGAAACATTACGTAATTTAAAAAAAAAAGTAAATTCTTCTATGGCCATAGCACCTAGATTCCCAGAAATTCAGACTATTTCTAGCATCTTGCAAAATCTTGTGACTTGATTCTGCTAAGCAGCATGTCATACTTTACAAGTTCATAAAAGTAGGTACCACAAAGTGATAATCTGTTTTAAACATGGTAGCAATAATGAGTTTTGAATAATAAGCCACAACTTTTCACCACCAGTTCCCTCTTTTCATCACAAATTCACAAAATAGTCCTGTTTATAGTCTGCACTTTCCTTCAGAAGATTGGGACAAAAATAGTCAAATTTTTTGAGTAAAAACCGAAAATTGGTCCAAATCTTGTCTGTTGGCTCCAAAATTAGGGTTCATTTCCAGAAATAATGAAGAA